CATTACACAATGTGGTGTTCCTGGTCAAAAATGCTTATACATTTTTCATTATGCTATGTCATTGCCAAATATTGCATTCAACTTGCCTGTACTAATTGTGAGAAAACAAGTTTGAAACCAAAATTTAGTGATAATGAGAGTTTTACAAGCAGTATTTAAAAGGCTGGACATGTTTTAATTAGATAAAGGATTTTCAGCACAGCACAGGGTTAACGCAGGAATAACACTTCTGCTGGTGTCTTCATAATTGCTGTTTTGTGCACACTTGTGATTTATCTTGTGCTCTGATTTCAGGGCATCATGCTGGTTTATGATATTACTAATGAGAAATCATTTGACAACATCAAAAACTGGATCCGAAACATAGAGGAGGTGAGTGTTTCAGTGCCCAATTTATCTTCCTTTACAATACACTTCAGATTTCAAGGCTTCTGCTGTGTGCAGTACTTGCTTAATATACGTAATCATCAGATCTTATCTGCATTTTTTAATGCAATAAAAGGTTATAATATAAATAATTACATAAAAGGTTACTGTAGTACAAACAGTCAAGCATTGGTTAAATTCTCATGGAAATGCATGAACTGATCAAATGTAGTTAAAATGCATTGCATTTTGCTTTGGATAAGTGTCTGAAAATGCATTCATGTAAATGTAAATATTTTGCCTATTTAATTTTTAAATATAAAATAGTCATTGAAATTGACATTATTGGCCATTGCATCTCACTGCTTTTTGTCTCTAGCATTTTCCAGCGTATGTGTTATTGTGCTTTTAATACAACATGTCCAGTAAATAATAGTTTTTGAATACAAAAGCATGTGTTATGTGAACTCTTATTATTGTTGTCTAAACTACCGGTAACCTAACTACTAGTCAGTCATTCAGACTAGTCAATTTTGAAAATGTGTAGTATTGCACATCCTTACCACCAATAACGGTTGCATATTCAACTGCAAATTATTACAATTCATGTTCTTGTATGTTTTCAACCCAGCATGCATCGGCGGATGTAGAAAAAATGATTTTGGGAAACAAATGTGACATTAATGAGAAGAGGCAGGTGTCTAAAGACCGAGGCGAGAAGGTGAGCAGACCATGTTCCTTTACAAAGCTTGATGTTCTCTTATACCCTTTGTCTTCGCAAAAAACAGTTTGCTAGTGTAATATTACTTAACTTTCATTGTATAAGACTCTACAGCAATGATGCCACCTTCCACAAGAATGCATTTAGTTAATGATCTACCTGCATCACCACGAATGGCTAGAACTGCTAAACAGTCTGTAATCATCCAGAGAAACCATCATACTTGTATTTTATATAATGGAATCTGCCTGTACTCGTTTAGCTGGCGTTGGAGTACGGCATCAAGTTCATGGAGACGAGTGCGAAGGCTAATATCAACGTTGAGAACGTAAGTGTAAATGGCTTTATGATTAATCCTCGTTTCATTTTCTTATCATATCTGCAGCAGATAGAACGTTTAAAGGTCTAATCAAGACATAATGATGTTTTCTGCTCTACTCGCAGTCATTCTTAACGCTCGCCAGAGACATAAAATCAAAGATGGACACGAAATTGGTGAGACTTTCTTTTTCTGTGCTTTAGCTTTGTGTAAAAATGAATTTAGATTGAAAATTGGGTAACAGTTTACAATAAGGTTTCTTTTGTTATCATTAGTTAACATGAACTAACAAAGAACAGTATTACTACACTATTTATTCGTCTCCGCTTATGTTAATCTCCGCATATACTAATGCATTTTTAAGATCAAAAGTTGTATCTGTTAACGTTAGTTTATGCACTGTGAATAACACAAACATTTGTATTAACTGACATTAACAAAGGTTAATAATTGCTGTAAAAATGTGTTCTTTTTATAAGTTCATTAATGAATCAGTGTTAACAAGTGAGACAACTAGCATGTGAAACAGTATGAAACTACTTTTTTTTAACAGTAATATGCATGGCACATGATCTGTGTTACATGATTAATCGATTGCTATGCATTTATCATCTTGGAAATAAGTTGATTTTGCATTAAGTCAACTTTTGGATGTCTTATTAAATAAATTAAATTGTAAATAATGACAATTTTGGTAACACTTTGCTTAAAGCCTTTATAGCATTTTTAATGTACGTTGAAATGCATTATACATTTTCATAAATAATTGTAACCAAAGTAAAAATGCATTACAATATTTGCAGATTCCTTGTTACATCTACAATTGGTTGTTTGTCATGTTTTAATGCATTATATATTTTCATAAATTGTTAAAATGCGTTGTAATATTTGAAGATACATTTTTACATCTGAAATTGGTTTGTCTTGTTTTTTTATATGCATTATATTTTCTCAAGGTGCAACGGTGAATAGATAAGTCTTATAACGGTCTAATTATTAATAAGATCATACAGTGCATTATGAGGCATAATTAATGCATTAAAAATACTTAATTATTATTAATACTTATTATATATTTATATATAAAGGCTTCAAGTAAAGTGTTACCACAGTTTTCCTTTTAGATGAATGAATCCAATATCCCATGCTCAGTATTGGCACAATTTCTGGCTAGCTTGATTTGCAGTAATAAAGTGAGAATCTGGAGTCTGATGAGGTTTTTTTTCTTTTTTCTTTGCTCACACAGGAGGGGAACAATCCTCAGAGCAGCAACCATGGAGTGAAAATTACCACTGAACAGCAGAAAAAGAGCAGCTTCTTTCGCTGTGTGCTACTGTGAAGACCAAGGCCTTACTGTCCGCCGCCCATGGGCTGGACACGACTGGACTATGCTCTCCCTCTTAGCACTCCTCCTCCTTCCTCTTTTATCCCATCTCTTCTTCTCTGTCGCGCTCTTCTTCCAGCCCTAGGGCAGTCGGAGTTCCTGGCTCCTCTTATCTTCTTCCATTGACAGATTAGCGATGCCGCTTCCTCTCGCTCATGACCCTTCCCCGACGAAACCGTGGTGGGAAAGCATTGGTTCTACAAGTCAAGGTGAAGAACTGGGTGCTGATGCATCGTCGCAATCGTTCCAGCAGCAAACGTGCACCTAAAGAAGATCCCACATCTTTGTTTCAATCGCTCGTTTTGAGCGCACAACTGCCAAAATTGATCCATTCCTTCGTGGCGACCTGGAAGCAGTCGTGATTGTGGGTCAAGCCGCAGATCTGATATTGAGCCAGTTCGAGAGTTACGTGGGACTTTCTTTATCATTCCATTTTATTTTTGGCCCTCATGCATTCTTCGACAATCACATGACCTTATTGTAAGTAGAGGAATATTATAACCCACCTCTTAGATGCTTTTTCCTTTCTTTCATTTAAAAAAAAAAAAANTACCCCCCTTTTTTTTTTTTTTTTTTTTTAAACATGTACACAAAGCTATTTCCAAATAATTCAGTTTTTTTTATGCAGTAGCGCTAGCTTTCGTTTTAACATTCCTTCGAATAAATCCAAAACTCAGGTCTTGCTTTATCACGACCTGAAAACGGCCCAACATGAAAGCGTTCTTTAATTAAAAACACTTGAATTGACTAGTGTAATCAAATGAAGCTGACAAGTAGCCCTTGACAGGAAGTGGAAATCCTGAGTTTGTAGTGTTAACAAATATGCATAA